GGGAAGAGAGAAGAAAGTTTTAGAGGACTTACCTGTTAAGAGTTAAAACAGAAAAAAGGAATAAGGAGGGAAGCAAGGTCACTAGAAAAAGCATCATGCATGTGATACCAGCAGTGGTATTGGTCCCCCGCCCCCTGGTCTCAGCTATGAGTACCTGTTCCTTCCTGTCTCTTTACTCCTGTCCTAGAATTACTTCCCAATTTTTGTGGTATTGACCCATGTCGACTGCTGCTCCAGAAGTCCTAAGAACAGCTTTAGTCTTTAAAACAATCAAGTGCTGTTCATGATTAATGTAAATAAGTGTTCATCATAATTATTAAATTACAAATATATTTGTGGGTTTTTATGCTCTTGACTTCATGATGTGAAATTTATCTGGAAATTAGTAAAACAAAATGTTGGGCTACATATCAGAAAAACATTGGGAATGAAGAGAGAACTAAATCTATAACCATGATCTTGTTAGCACCATGTTCTAGCCAATGAAGCTCAGCAGTCACACACAGATACAAATCTAATATTCTAACTATATAGTCTTAGAAAATATGTTAGCCTAAAGTATGTTAATGATTGAAGATGACAAATCTGAATAATAAATCTTTTGTCTTCCTCCACCTTCAGGCAAAGAAATTCACAGAGAAGGCCACTTCATCCACAGCTGAATGCAAAATAAAAGGATTTCTATCAAGGAATGTTTCATTCACCCATTAATCAAATGGGTTAAGTGCCTATTGTGTACAATGCACTTTATGAGGCACATTAAAAAAAAAAACACAGTTACTACCCCAAAGGAACAATAGTGAGGATAAAACCAATACTTGGATAATTGTAATGCAAGACATAATAGAAATACATAAAGGAGATAAAAGTAATAGGAAGGAAGGAAGGAAGGAAGGAAAGAAGGAAGGAAGGAAGGAAGGAAGGATAGATTTACTAAACACTTAACCATATGAGAAAATCAAAGAGGGAGAGAACACTTAGAGAGATTAGGAAAGACTTCATGGAAGAGGTGGCTCATAAACTGCATTGTGAAGGAAGGGAAGATTTTCATCAGGTGCAGATACAGAAGATCATTCCAAATATGGATATGGGAGAAACATAGCTGAGTTCAAGAAACACCTAACATGTCATTTTGTTTGGGGCGGGAGGGGAATGAGTACACAGAATGGAATAATATATTTCATTTGATAGTTTGGAGGTAAATGCAGAGAGGAGGATGAAAAAGCTTCAATGCCAGACCAACGAGGTTGTGTTTTATTTGGTAGCAGTGAAGCAAAGTTATGCAAAGTTTTTAAGCAGTGAAGTGAAATGGTCAGACCTTTCTATAATGAAAATTACTCTAGCAGTGAAGTGAAGAATGGGCTAGATATGGAAAAGTCTAGGGGAAGGGAAATCTATTAGGAGGTCCCTACCAAAGTCACAAGCCTGGCTGACCGGGAGAGAGGTGCCATCATTAGCAAAAAGAAAGTTATGAGGAGGAACTGGTTGGAAAGGGAAGATGATAAATTCCTTTTTGACCATGTTGAGTTTGAGTTAACTGTAAGATATCTCAGTGGAAGTGTTCAATAAGCAATTAGAAAGTTCAAAATTGAAGCTCATGGAAAAGTTCAGGGCAGGATTTATAAGACTGGGAGTTACCTGAGTAGACTTAATTGAAATCATAGCAATGGATCATATTTCTAAAACAGAGAAGAAGACGGATGAGAACAGAGCATTAGAGAATACCCACATTTAAGATATGGGAAGAGGAAGAGAAACCAGTGAGGACAATCAAGATAGGCAAGAGAATGACTTTGTACAATGTCAGGGAAACTGTGGAAGGAGAATATCAAGAAGGAGAAGATGGTTAACTCTGTATAGTGCTACAGAGAAGTCAAGAAGAATAGGACCTGAAAAGAGTCTGTTGTTGTTGATGATGGTGATGATGATGATGATGTTTTTGTGATAAATTCAGTAGTGAATTTCAGCAGTATGGAAAAATCAGATTAAAAACAGACTAAAGAATGACTTGGTAGTGAGAGCATGGCAGGATCTAGTATAGATTTCTGTTTTTGGAAGCTTACAATTAAAAAGAGAAGGATAAGGTGATAGCATGAATTTGTAGGAGGGTCGGGGAAGGTTTTTAAAAATCTAATTCTGGTTCTGTTTCTGTTCTGAACATGAAGAAAGGCAAAAATGTGATCCCTCCTATCAAGGAGCTCACATTCTAGTGGGGAAGATAACATGCAATTTACTATTGTACATATCTATCTATCTATCTATATATATGTATATATATCTATATCTATATCTATATATCTATATATATATATATATATATATATATAGCAGCTAGATGGTACAGTGGATAGAGTGCTGGGCTGGGAGTCAGGAAGTGCAGTGGCTAGAAGACTGGGCTTGGAATCATGAAGACCCATCTTCCTGAGTCCTCAAGTCTAGTCTCACACACTTACTAGCTGTGTGACCCTGACAAGTAACTTAGCCCTATTTGCCTCAGTTTCCTCATCTATAAAATGAGCTGGAGAAGGAAATGGAAAATAACTCCAGGCTTTGCCAAGAAAATCCCAAAATGGGGTCACAATGAGTTGGATATGACTGAAGGACTGAACACAAGAATAGAAGGCAGATGGTGGTGATTACCCAGTATTTAGAATTACTAGAGTGAGAACGAAAAGACAATAGAAACCAATTTGAAGAAAAAAAAACACCGAAGTAACTGACCAGCCCAACCAGTAGAGAGGAAGGTAAATTAACCTAGAACAGAGGTGATGGACTAAAGGAAAATGGAAGGACAGATTGACCTCACAAAAAGGATAACAAAGCAGCTTCATGCTTCATGCTATCCCCTGCTGTTTGAACATATTTTCCTCCTATTAATAATTCTATGGATCATTTCTTCTTAAAGCCTTTAATTCCATTTGTCTGTTTAGAATCTTTTTTACCCAAAGTAAACTAAAGTAATTATCTGAATAATTGCGGTAAAAATCACTTGCCTCAATTATCTATATGTATTAGACAAAACTGGATTTTTACCCTCAATTCTCTGGATCATTTCATCAGTTAGCACACTTCATGGTGCAAGCATAGAGGGAGCAATGGTTCTGCCCTTGAGTTAAGTGAATTTAATGTGTCTACGGAGGAGAAATCCTATAAGGATTTTCAGTGATTGAGCTCCAAGAATAAGAAGGGGAAAGGTTTAAAAAGCTTAATGAAGTCATAACCATAATGGCTGATAGATTAAGTATGTTACTGTGTATCAGGCTTTCACTATATACATATACATCCATCATGATATATATGGATGAAGGGGGTAGTTAGGTGGCACAGTGGGTAGAGCACCAGCCCTGGAGTCAGGAGGACCTGAGTTCTAATCCGACCTCAGACCAAACACTTGACACTTACTAGCTGTGTGACCCTGGAGAAGTCACTTAACCCCAATTGCCTAAAAATAGTAGTAGTAGTAATAATAATAATAATAATAATATATGAATGTATTTGTATATCTGTTTCAAAAAATCATTATTTTGTCAACCAGCAATGTAACTCCAAGCAATAACAAGAACTTAAGCACGTGGTATCATGACTCTACTTTAATCAATCAACCAATCAATAAATGTTTATTCAGTGCCTACTATGTGCCAGATACTAAGAACTGAGGGTACAAAAAGTGGGAAGATATCCCCTACTCTCAAAGAACTTACAATAATGGGGGAGATAAAATGCAAATACATAAATACAAAGTAAGCTATAAAAATGAATGGTAGGTAATTAACAGAGGAAGGCACTGGAATTAAGAGAGGTTGGGGATGGCTTCCTGTAGAAGGTAGGATTTTAATTGGGCCTTAGAGGAAGCCACAGAGCTCAGTAGAACTTTAAGGCTTTTGCAATTTAAAGAAAAAAAGTGACAAAGTCAGAACCAAAATTGATTAAAGTAAGTGGAGTTGGTAAAAATAAAGTCATTTCCTGCCAGTGAAAATATTCCATCTGTTACAAAACTAAGGTTTGAGGACTTTTGTCTTTACCTAAACTCTGTTTATGTTTTCTTTTGTTGTGCAAATGTTTGTGGGTTTCTTTGTTTTATACTTTCACCCATCTGTCTTGATTTTCTGGCTGTTCAAATCCATTTTATCAATGACTATGTAAATCCCCTTGGAAAAAAAACTTAAAAGGCCATATTGTTTTTCATAACACTCAGACAAAACTTTCTTAGCTTCTTCTTCCTTTTTTGGAGTGGACTTCACTCTTTACTGAATATAAAAATGCCAAATTTCTGAAACAGCTACATTTCTATTTATCAAACACATTATCAGTGAGCCATTACATCTTTTCTTTTATCCTTTCTGCCATCTATTAACTGATCATATGGAAAGAAAAATAGTGAAAATTATAGTATCTTCTCCCTTTGAATAAGGGAAAGGGAAAGAAGACAATCAATTATACATGTTAATTATGTTGCATAACATGAGAGACAGCATTGTATAAGGGATACAGATCTAGCCTCAGATTCAGGAAGACCTGGATTTATGCCTCAATTCTGATATATCTTGGTATTGTGACCCTGGATAAGTCATTTAACCTTTCATTTTCCTCAGGCAAATCTCTGAGATCCTAAACAGAGTAGCACATGCTAATTAATCATCTGCTTTTGAAGGAAGGAGTTTGTTCAGTGGGATTTCCTACCCTGATGAAATAATAGATTCAGACAACCCATCTATCTCCCCCCCACCAAGTGACATAATACTTATTCATTTTACTATTCTTCATTATCTTCTATCCTCCCAATGGAAATTATGAGTTCATATTTGGTAAAAAAAAAAAATGGCAGTAGCTTTATACTCCTATGTATGAAATGTGTATATTACTTTATAAAGTCAGCTTATAAGTAAATATGTTAAAAATTGGTCTGAAATAAAAAAGTGAACAATATTGTAATACCACAAAGTCATTAGTATAAGTTTACTGAATGCCAGCTGATGATTGTTTTTCTGTTCCTTTTGCAGTGGTTATGTCTTTGATTATGATTACTACAGAGATGATTTCTACAATCGGTGAGTTGGGCTTTACTCCTCTATGACCCTTTATTTTGCATGGTTTTGTGTTTAAATGCTTCATGCATTTTGCTCATAGATATTTCTCGATCTAGCTTTAAAAGACATATATTTATTTATTTATTTAATTAAAAAGCAACCCTTCTAAATCTGTCCAAAAAAAAAAAAGTCTGCCAGAGGACAAAGCTATTAACCCTACATTTTTCAAGTAGAAAAGCATTTATCAGATGATTGCTTTGTGCCCAGGACTGTGCCAAGCAGTGGAGATACAAAAAAAAAGTCAAAAACAATCCCTAATTATTCAAACATTTTCTATAGGATCTTCAGACTTTGAAGACTTTTGGAGATGCTTGCTTATCTTATTGTCTCATGTTATAAATTAAAGAATATTTGAAAAAGATTTACATTTTAGATAAAAACATTTTTTCCTGATTGTGATGTGCTTTTGAGAATTCTTGAAGAATAATTTAAGACTTCTTAAGTCTAATAGGAATTTTGTAAAAACAAGAAGTGTTTCTCTATTCTGCTAAAATACACCTACTTTCATTCATTCATTAGGAAAACATTTACTAACCAACTACTGAGTGCCAAGTACCGTGCTAGGTTCTGGGGCTACAAAGACAAAAAAATGAAACAGTTCCTAAGTCGTTTAACTTCAGTCAACCCCCAAAGACTTATCTACTGAGTCACAGATAAGTTGTGATATTCATTAGTGGAGGAAGCTTCTGTAACTTTATGTACTCTCTTTTCCATGTCCCTTGAAAATACAGTTTCCTAGGTCTAAGGATGTCCTCAAAAGAAAATAAGTATAGTCTAAAATCTAATTATCTAATACATCTAACACATAGTAAGTGTTTAATAAATATTTTGTGGCTGATTGACCAGTACTTTAGGAAAACCACTTTTGTCAGTATGTGGAGGATATATTGGCATATGGAGAGAGTTGAGGCAGGGAGACCAACCAAAAAGCTATTTCAGTAGTCCAGGAGAGAGATGATGAGGGCCTATATTAAGATATATAGATCTGGATATGTAAATCTGAGAACCATCTTCAAAGGTAGATGATATTGAATGATCAGATGATAACTGCTCAACTGAATCTATTGGAGCTGATAAAATAATCAAAGGAAAGAGTATATAGAGAAAAAAGAAGAGCCAGGACAAGGCTAAAATGTGCCTTTTCATAACTTCTACTCATTTTTACTCTGCTGGGCCAAACAGAACAATTCTAATCCCCTTTCCACAATGACAGTCCTTCAAATACTTGAAGACGACTCTCATGTACCTTCTTAAGTCTTCTGTTCTCCATAATGAACATTCTGAATTGCTCTGCAGTTTTCCTATGGAATGATCTAAATGTTCTTCACAGTTCTGGTTGGCCTTCTCTAGAAACTTCAACTAATACTATGTCCCTCCTACACTGTGGCACCCAGAACTGGCTGGTATCCATTATGTTATTTTTTTAATGGTAGGGACTGATGTGCGCTAGTCGTACTAGACAGAGTGACTAACTGCATTGATCTATAACATGGATAGGCAAGAATAATGTGTAGTCTGTGACCTATAACAAGGGGAAAATAATTTGTCCACATCAGAATTGGACCTAGAACCATAGCCTCACTAATACCATGTACGTGGTAACAGAGGGAAACAACCACAAATATCATTAAATGTATATTTCATTCACAGTTATTGCTGTGTAGAATTTCTATGAAAATGCCCTTGACTAATGCCTATTGCCATATCATCTATAACTTATACAAGAAAAAGTTAATTTTTTGTACCCAAATATTAACTTAGTTTCTTTTCAGAAAGATTTTCCCAACCTATTCTTACAATTCTTAAGAATTTAATAGATCTCGCAAGAGTAATAGGAAGGTTAAGCTGAGTTTTAAAAAATCTATTATGGGTGCTGCAGTTATAAAAGATAATCTTTAGACCTTGTTTCTAATATTCTATAATTACATATTGATGATAATTAGATTTTTAAATGTTTCTGCTACAGCTTTTATTGACTCCTTAATGTGGAGAGCACTAAACTTGGGACTCTGAATATCATATTATTCAATGAATATACATTGCCTCATATTCTATAGCTATTATTTTTAACCAAGTAATTGTGAGGCATGGAGGTGACCCTGAATTCTCAAATTATGCCAGTGGAATTCAAACTAGCAAATTCTATCAAGGTGACAGGCTTTGAGAGTGGACTGAGCAGTAGAATGTATGTCTGTCATCCAAAGATGTGGCTAATTTTTGAGAGGCTTGTAGCAGGTTGAATACAAAATGATGGGTTTTTCAGCAAGTACAACTTTCCAAAGGTGAATAACTAAGTCATAGATGGTTTGTAATCTTCATTGGCATGGCAGATAGAGTATCCATACTGACAAAATTATAGATCTTTAAAGTACAGGGATATTCATGCTTCATAACATTGTCCTCATTGTGCATTAGATTATCCCCTACTTCTAAAAGGTTTCTATTTATGTGTCTTTATAAATATCCAAAGAATCCTCCACTAGGAATCAGAAAACCTAGGTTCTAGTTATTCACTCCTTCCTGTCTCCTATTCTGTAATTTGCTATTTTGTTATTGGACAAGTCACTTGAACTTTTTGGTTATTGGTTTTCTTATTTGTAAAATGAATTGGACCATATAATCTCAGTTTCTTCTAATTCTGTGTATGCCATGTCTTCTGCTGGACTCTAAGCTCTGTGAAGTCATATTTTTTTTTAATTTCTTTCTTTTCCATTACCTGGCATAGTGCCAGACATATACAGTAGGAACTTAAACATTTGATGACTGAATAAATAAATAAAAAAGTGCTTGAATTTTTCAGTGCCAAAAAGACAGATTTACTGTGTGTTATTTGTCTGTTTCTAATCATCCAGATTTTTCATAATGGAATGTAAGCATCTATCAGTAGCAGATATTCTCATTAGTTAGCCTGTAAACATCAGCTCCCAAGAAAACCAAACAAAAGGGAGAGGTAGCATATGAAGAGGAAAGAGAATTTTTGTCCCATAACCAAATTATTTTTTGTTGATGCTGATTTTTGTAAGGACTACTCTGCTTACATTTATTAATAAATATTACCCCTTTTTCTCACCTTCATTTCTAAAGCTGGCAAGATGGAATTTGTTTCCTTTTTTATGTTTATAAACCAGAAGAATATATAGGCCACTGTTAATCACTCTCCACTCATTGACTAGGAATTTGTCCTTTTGGTGATACTAAGAGCAGCCATTTTAAAAATGGCTCTGAGTCAGTCTTCTAGCCCTACCAAGAATCATGTAGTTTTTGCGTTCCATTTGAAAGTCCTCTAATAACACAACAATTCATGCTACTTTCATTCCCTAGCTAATTACAACTTATCATTTTTCAATTTGAGTGTTTCTGAATGGATAGGTTTGAATAGTTGTAATAGAAAGGCTAACATTCTACTAGATGCATGTATTAGACAGCTGTTTAGACAGCTATTCAGTTCTAGCTTATTGAGATCTCTCTGGTACCTTGAGCCATGTTAATTTTTTAGGCTTTCTAGTTAAGTATCAGGGATTCTGAACAATTCCATTCCTTAATAGGCTTGTATATTCTCTCAAAACTGTGTGTGCATGTCAGGGAGAGGGACAGATAGTATAGGATCATTTAGAGTTGGCAATAACCTTAGAGACCATTTGGGATAACACTTTTGTTACAGATGAGGAAATTGAGGGATTTAGCTTGCCCAGGGTCTAACAAGTAGTAAATAGTAGAGTTGGGATTGATATTCAGGTGCTTCCAGTCTGGTACCTTTCCAATTACAGTATTTTTCTTCCAATGCAGAATTGTAAAGGAAAGTCTTTGCACGTAATTTTAAAATGAAAATCTTTATACACTCAAATAAAGTAAATTGACATAAAAAACTAAAAGAGTTTGAGCCCCAGGGAGTATTTTCAATTACTATAATATTACCAATTGCAGTTGAACCTTTTTTTCCCACTGATATCTGCAAAGATTCTGTATAATCAGTGAGCACCAAATTGTGTTCTTAACAGAAAAACAGTAACAACTATGCCTGAAATGCTTGTACAAAGTTAAAAAAGTTAGATTTAATAAAGAATAGTTGTTTAGTTCTAGCGCTACTTTGTTCTCATATTAATTAAAAACAGGAGCAAAGCCAATGTAATTTCAGTGAATGAAAAACTCTTAGGTCAAGTTAAAGTTGTTTCGGATCATTGATTACAGAGTATCAGCTTGTGCTGAGCTCTCACAAGTATTGGAAAAATAAAACAAGATGCTCTGTCTGTTTCTTAATGTTCATTTCAATTAGCATTTGACCCAATTGGATTCCATTACATAGAATGTCCTAAAAGTCTTAATTCAATTTTAAGTTTAATAAATATATTTTGAATATGTTTATTGTATATTTTATAAGTATGATTTTGAAGCATGACTTTAATATTTTTATATTTGGGGGGGGGGAATTCTTATATGACTTATACAGAGTCCCAAAAGTCTCAGAGCAATTTTGAGCTTATGGAACATTCTGTTAAGTCATGTAAGAATTTCTTTACCTTACATTTCAAAGTTTAAAAACCATGCTACAAAATTATAATTATCAAAATTTATATCAATATATTTAAAATACACAATTATTGTTCTATTTCTGAATAACAGAAGATTTGCATGAATTATTTTTCAAATCGGCAGCCAGTATTATAAAGATTGTTATCCTTATCCATCCTAGAGCTAACATATCAGGTTATTGAATAAATTTTATGAAATAAATGGAAAATGAAATTATTTACCATTGTATGGTTTTCATGGCAAGGAATGACACTGAAAAATAATAAAAAAGCGACCACTGCACCCCAAAAAGGAATACCCTGGCTAAATGAGGTACAGTATGCAAAGCCTTAACCATTAGAAATATTTTTCTGAGCCATTGTCTGCCTAGTCAGTCTGACAGGTGATACTAATAGCTGAGACTGGAGTCTGCAGAGATGAAATGAATATCAGTCTCAATTCATGCAACAGGGAGTCCAACTAATTTACCTAATGGCAATCAGTGATTTCAGTGAACAGTGTTTTCAGGGCTGCCACCATCCTCTGGAACTATTTTGTAAACTGACAACTTACTCAGTCTCTCCACTGCTATGCATGGAATGGCTTTCCATCTACCAAGTTGTGTGTCCCATGAACACCAAGATTTCTCAGTAGAAATCTGTCCCCACCTTGAAGGTCTTGACAATGAATTTGCACATCATGTCATTGTTTGTTTACTTCAGTGTTCTTCTCGGCCAAAGCTCTAGTAGGAGGTAAGTTTCTTTTGTCTTCTCTCTCAGCTGGGAAATACATTGGCTGTGTGAGTCTCTTCAGAGACTCCAAAACATAAATCAATAGGTAGGTATGACTGATACTCAAACACCAACAAAGTGTAAAAGCCAGTGGCATCATTCCTGGTAGAGCTGCACACATATTCTAGGAAAGTCATATATCAGCTGTGCTGAGATTTTCATTCTGGCTAGTCTCAACGCACCTAACATGTTCACCAGGTTATGGTTGAAACATTCAGATTATGGGGCCTCTTGAAGATGAAAAGGCATTGTATTAGATTTCTTAATACTTACTTTAATAAAAAGCTAACATGTCTTTAAGCAACATTTTGAAAGTTTCTGCCTTGGTCCAAATGGAAGTATATATAGTTAGAAATATTTTCCCACCTTATGAGTTGGTTACTTACCTCCAATATATGATGTATTCTTACTTTCTGAGAATAGCAAATGTCAAAATTTGGGGGAGAAGTAAGAGTTGGGTTGCTTGATTTGTTCAATCAAGTTATTTTACCACACTTAAAATAAGTGATAAGATACCCAATCAATCAATCACTTTCAATCTTAGGCTTTAGATAAAGTGCTAATGTACTTGGAATTGCAATGACCTTGCACAGGAAAAAAAGGTTTAAATAGGCCAAGGAAGCTTAGTCGTGATTCGTAGTTCATCCATAAAGCTAGTTTAGAACTGAGGTCATTTGAGAGGTTGAAGCAAGAGTGGCTTTCCTGAGCCACTGAGTAACTATTAGGCTGGATTGAGGGTCGGGGTATGATGCTGGTCTGGAAGAAGCAGAGAGGAGAGACCTTGCCTTCAGTTTTGACCAGATCTCATTGTCCTCCTCTCCCTTTGACTGGAGGAGGATTTTAGGAGCTTTGAAGGTCCAAAGGATTTTGGACTTCAAGTCTTCCCATTGGTATTTTAGTGGTCTCCCCAAATCAGATGAGTCTATATTTGGAGCCAAAGACACACTGGTCATAGATTCCTGGTTCTATAAGAAATCCAGTAAAGAAATTACATTAAACCTAAGGGTACTTTTTGAGCACCCCACAAATGGGAGAAAGACTTTCAGCAACCAGAAGCTGTGAGTTAGCCCCTTCTCCACATGTTACTTTAAGCTTGAGCCCACTTACCCATGGATTCTGTATGTACTTCTGGTAGAATATGCCACAGACCTTTGTGTCTGTGTTTTTGTACAAACAGTTCTTACTGCACCACCTTGTAAATGCCTTTTTTCTAAAAACTACTTAATGCTGACTGATAAAATAATTCTCCACTGATAACCTTAGGTGCAAGTACACTAATAGGGGCTGTAGTAGATTAAATTAGAGAATCACCTCTGACTCTTCCTGGGCACCCCTAGAATCATAAAGGAGAGATGTAACCTTCCTTTGGGAAATGAGACTCATTCATGAGAAAAGTAGGAATCTTGAGAGTTTATATGAATTACATTAGGTTCCTTCTTCCCAAAAACATATCAAGTAGATGTCCTCATTTTACAGATGAGAAGAAGGAGGCTCTGGAGATATTAAATGAATTGCTTATGTTCACCTAAGTGTTAAGTACCTGAGGTGGGAGGCTAACCTAGGTATCCTCATGTAGCACTATATTCCCAATGCAATGTGGTCTTTCCTAGGCTTTCTTAGGTGATACCTTAGGTCCTTTGCAATTCTAAAATTGTAAGGACCACCCCTTACTTTATAGATGAGGAAACTGTAAAATAGAGGTAAAGCGATTTGCCCAAGGACATTCAGTTAGTAAGTAGCAGAGCCACACCATGCTGCTTCCTCTAGTACCCCAGTTTATGGTTTATGAGTCAACCACCACAATAGTTTGTGTTGCATTGTAGAGACCGGAGTTTTTCACACTTGGAGAGATCTGAATCTTGGATATGTCCATTGGCATAGTCCTCTTCTTGTAGCTTTATGGTTTGGAATTCATGAGAGCACGATAATATTTGGTTGTATTCATGACATATGAAATATTCTGAATATAAAAGGCTTAAAAAAGAAATATAAAACGCTTTATGTGACTGAAATTAGAAGTAGGTTTACTTTATCTTTTATTATCTTGAAGACCTTACAGATATTGGTGGCCTTTATCACCTTTTCCAGCCTCATCTTCCCAAACAGTAACATATTGACTCATATCAAATCCAATGATAATGGTATCTTAGCTGTAATGGAGACTCTTGACCCTCTTGAACTGTCTTATTTCATCTTTCTTCCCTTCCAAATATCACTCAGCTTTTTCCTCAGAATGTGTTTATTCCATTTCAGAACATTTTACCTCTGATATAAGAAAATCTCTAAGTACTTTGGAGTTCTGTCTGGCAGTTTTAAAATTAGCTTTATACATTCCTTTTTTCCATTGTGTAATGATGTTTTTAAATTTTCCCCAGAGTGTCTTATCATGAAAGGATTCTTTTTTTAAAAATGGAATTACTGTCTCATTCATTTTTATGCCTAAGAGAAAACTAATTTTCCATACTAATATGTTATATAAGGCTTTTATTTTTTTCTCTGGCTTTTCTCTCTTGCTCACCATGACATTGGATTATTGCTATTGATTGTCTATTTTTAAAGATAGTACAAGAATTTAATCTATATAATGGGAGCACAATGTTATATGTAACCATTGTATTTCTTAAATCAATAACACTATTATCTTTAGAGTTGATTGCCTAATTACACATCTGGTTCATTGGGGGATAGTTTCACATTCTGGACAGCTAAATAAGTTCCAGGCTCAATAAGCTATTTTTTTTCCTCCTTTCCTTTATCGGGGTTGATGTTTTTTTTTTCTTCAGAAATGGTATAACAGTACAAACTATGTGCATCCATGCATGGTATGTATATACATAGATGGGTATCTGTTTTGTACATCTTAAGCTATTCAAGGAGAAAATATATTTACCATAGTTGCTGGCAATAAGATACTTTTGTTAATTTACAAGTAAACTTCCACGGACTTTTCATCCTGATTCTATTTCCTTACAAGACATTTTCATCAGCCAGCTGTATGACATTGACAAAATGTTGAGTGTGTCATCTCTGTGTTGTAGTTTCTTCATTTGTCATATGAACATAATAATACCTACCCTGCTCACTGCAAAGAGTGGTGAACATAAACATTATACAGAAAAACAGACGGAAGATTAATGTACACTAAGTGATAATAACACTGAATATTTATAGCACATTATAACCACATCAGATCATCATCAGTTCCAATAAGTGTGGGAATTACTACTTTCCATATATTTTGTATACCATTTATATGATTTTTATCTAACTAAACATAAGCACTATAGAGTTTATATGTGCAAGTGTGAACACATACACATATAGTGAAAATATTTGAAAAGGATATAGTGTTATATAAATATTATGTATTGTCACTAATTACCTAGACCATTCTCAGCATCTGAGCAGCATTACATTACAACACCCAAAGGGAAACCTACATATCTGAGAAACACCAAGTGCAAATCAGGAAGACTAAGGTTCAAAGACTTCTTCTGATATTTATTATGACCAACAGTATATTGTTAAGCAGTAAGCATGCACTGAGCACCTACTATGTGCCAGGTATTGTGCTAAGTACTGAAGATACAAGAAGAAAAATGAGAGTCCCTGCCTTGTAGGAACTTGCATTCCTAGAGACAGCATATGCATGTATAAGTATAAAGAAAATATATACAAAATAAATATATACCATATATGTGTGTGTATACATAGATACATAGATATCATAGATAATAGTCGATTGAATCTTCTAGTAGTAAGCCAAATCTAAGCACCAGTTCTATTTGTTGAAGGTTGTTTGATTACCACGGGCGTGTTCCCCCACCTCCCCGAGCAGTGATACCCCTGAAACGTCCCCGGGTGGCTGTGACAGCAACTCGTAGAGGCAAAGGTGTTTTTTCCATGAAAGGGGGATCGAAATCTACATCAAGTGGGACTTCTTCTTCAGGATCAAAATGTGAGTTATTTTCTTCACTGTTATTCCCTTTGAGAGAGTGTTTGAATATGTGGCACTGGAAAAATATGTCTATAGAATCAAAGCCCTATAATGCACCATTTTGACTTGGTGAAATAGTAAATCATAGTATTCAAAAGGGGGCACAAAATAGTTTTCAGGTTAAATGATTAGACAGTATTCATCATATCTGGACCATTTGCACATCAAAGCTATTAGTATGAACAAGTTACATGGCAATTTTCCTTCAAGGGTGACTATTAACTTGGAATGAATTTGTCTTACCATGATATCTTCAGCTCAATTCAGTTTAGTATTTTTAAGTGCCTGCTACTTTCAAGATACTGCAATGGGTACTGGGTATACAAAGACAAAAATTAAAGATTTCTTTTCCTTAAAGAGTTTGTATTATACAGGATAAGAAGAGAGCATTGACAACTGGTGCGGATGTCAGGAAAGGTTAAGGTGAACACAGGTGCTGAGTATTGAAGCAGTACAGAGGGAGTGGGAATGGGAAATGACCTGTGCAAAGATACAGAAACTGCAGGTAGAATGCTAAGAATGGGGACAGCAAATAGACCAGTTTGTAATGTAAAGTATGTTGGTAGAGATAATATGAAAGAAGTCTCGAAAGATAGATTGGAGATAAATGACAGGGGAGGGGCAAGAGGGGATAACATTAAATGCCAGAATGAGGACTTTCTATTTTATACTAGGGATAATAGGGAGTGATTAAGGATTTTTAATAGGAATGTGATGTGATCAGACATATACCTTAGAAGGATTATTTTGATAGCTATGTGGAGGAAGTGATGTAGAAGGGAGAGACTAGAAGCAGGGAAATCAATTAGGAACCTAATGTAATAGTGCTGGTAAGAGGCAACAAGGGGCTGAACTGAGCTATAGCAGCCATGGGAGTGAAAGAGGTTGATATATGCAGGAAATCTTATGGAAGTAGGATTGCCAATACTTGATGACTAGTTCAATATTGGAATAGTAAAGAAGAATCTGACTAGAAGGTTGATGGAAACCTAGAGGAGTAGGGGAAATGGTGAGTTAAGTTTTGAGCATGTTGATTTTGTGATACCAATCAGATATTCAGGCTGGTAACATAAAATTTAATATATCAAACTAATATAAATTTCTCAAAAATTGTTATATGATTACATATATACTTTGCCGTCTTTAGGCTCTTGACAATCATAGAATCATAGATCTAGAAGTGAAAGGATTATAGGGGCCATATAGTCTAACCCCCTCATTTTACAAATGAGGAAACTGAGGTCCAGAGAATTAAAATGACTTTCCTATGATTACAAAGGTAGTAAATATCATACACAAGATCTGAATCCAGGACATCTGACTCCAGAGTCAGTGCTCTTTTCACTGCACCACACTCACTTCTTTAAAGAATAATTTTTTTTTGGCTAGGCAGTGGGGTTAAGTGACTTGCCCAGGGTCACACAGCTAGTGAGTGTCAAGTGTCCGAGGCCAGAATTAAACTCAGGTCCTCCTGACTCCACGGCCAGTGCTCTATCCACTGTGCCATCTAGCTGCCCCTTTAAAGAGTAATTTTTTAAAAAATTGTACCTTCTTGTTTTTAAACCATTAATAAACTTTTGAACTGATACTTATGGGACTCTACAACACCACCATTATTATCAGATATTCATTTCTGAGGACAAGTTAGATGAACAATCTCTTTAGTGTAAAGTTTTCAGAAACAAAATAAAGGATTATAGTTTTGTTTTTCTGCCTCATTGTTTGTGATATACTAAGATTATTTTTAAGTTAACTTATCTTTCTGTTATGACTTAAAACCAGCGCAATACTTTACTTACAACCCTTGGAACATAGGATTTGGAGCTGAAAAGGACCTTAGAGTCATAGAATCTCAGAGGGAAAAGGTCATCTGATTCAATCTGTACTTCTAAAACGTCCCTGAAATGTCATTATCACAAGCCTCCACTTGCAGGCATCTCTATATAGTTAATTATATAACCAAAGTAATATAAATTTCTTGAAAATTGTTACATGATCACATATACTTTGCCATCTTTAGGCAAAAGACTATCATGAATATTGAGAAAACACTTTTATCCAAGGAAAACAGCAAACCAAAATTGGAGTTTTACAGATGAGAATATACCAAAGAATCTGTAGGAATAAATGAGCTCTTCAGCTGGGAGCCAGGTAAGACCTGAGCTCAAACCAAGAGTAGTAATGATCTGACTAAAGAGAGTCAGTTCTCTAGGGTGAACATGGTGGAGTCCAGGTTCGTATGTATGTGACTCTCAGGTCTCCCATTAGCCATTCAAAAGTTTTCACCTTACCTACCTCAACCTCTATAAAGGTATTCTTTCTAACTGTGTCCAACTTTTTCTGGGCAAATGAAGACTTATATTTAGATGTGTCCATATTGCTTCCCCAAACAAAATGAAAAATCCTTGAAGACAGATATGTTTTTGCTTGTGTCTTTTTTATACCTCACTTAATAAGGTGAAGTGAAAAGCGAAATTGTTATTGATTGATTGATATAAATAGAGAAAAAATTAAGTCCCGAGGCAACCTACTTCACTTTGGGAAGCTCTAGTTATTAGAAAGTTATCTAAACAACTACCATTTATTTTTCTGCAGCTTTCAATCATTGCTTTTAGTTCTGCTCTCTGGAGCCAACCAGAGCAAATCTAATCCTACTTCCATGTGACAGCCCTTTAAATACTTGAAGGCAACCAGCATGTTTTCTAAGTATTCTCTAGAATAAACATTCCCAGTTCCTTCAAGTGTTCCTCATATGATATTTCTCCAGCCCTCTAATCATTTTAGGAGAACGTCTCTTGATTTGCTCTTTATCTTTCTTGAAATGTGGAAAGCCAAACTGAATACAATAATGCAGACATTATCTAACCAATCAGTAAGGATTTGTTAGGGTTTTACTAGGTGCCAGCCTCTGTGTTGAGGGTACAAAAAAAAAATTCCAAACAGTCCCTTTCCTCAAGAAGATTATCTTCTAATGGGGAATATAATCTCTAAATAAATAGGTACATACAAGATACCTATGTAGTACATGAAAGGCAACCTTAGTAGGGAGGGCTTTAGAAGCCAAGGAGACCAGGAAAGGTTTCCTGCAAAAGATAAGGTTTGAGCAAAGTCCCGAAGGAATTCAGGAGTTCTAAAAGGAAGAGGTGAGTAGGGAGAATACTCCAGACAAAAGAGACAACCAAAGCAAAGGCATAGATCCAAATTCCTTCTAGTCACAATGACTCAATCTAAGAGTTTCTCAGCTCAAAATTAGTAGTAGTAGCAGTAGCAGTAGTAGTAGCAGCAGCAGCAGCAGTAGTAGTAGTAGTAGTAGTAGTAGTAGTAGTAGTAGTAGTAGCAGTAGCAGTAGTAGTAGCTAACATTTATATAGGATTTACTCTATGCCAGGCATTGTGCTAAGGGTTTACAATTATTGTCTCATTTAATCCTCTCAACAATCCTGGGGGGTAAGTACTGTTATTATCCCCATTTTAGAGATGAGGAAACTGAGACAGAGTTTAAGTGACTTGTTCAGAGTTACACAGCTAGTATATTTCCGAAGTCAGATTTGAACTCGGGTCCTCCTGATTCCAGGTCCAGTGCTATATCTACTGTGCCACTTAGCTATATAGGATCATAGTATTTTGAACTAGAAAAGATCCTAAAGATCATCTAGACCAGACCCCTAATCTCACATATCAGGATCATAGATCACTAATTGAGAAGCGGCTATTTAGTCTCACTTATTAATTTTCTGGATAAGGACACTGGAGCCGAAGGAGCTGAAGTAACTTACCCAAGGTCACACAGGTATTAAGTAAGAGATGAGATTTGAACCTCGATCCTCTAACTCCAAATTTATTGATCTTTCCACTGTACTATGCTGCCTTCAAGAAGCTGAAGCCCAGATGGCTTAAGTGCCCAAAGTTACACAGGAAGAAAATCCAACCCATTCATTTTACGGATAAGGAAAATGAGGCTCAGAGAAAGGTAAGGTGAAATGATTTGTCCATAGCCATAGATTTTGTGAATGGCAGAACGTGGGCCATGTCTTCTGACTCCAAAGTCAGCATGCTGCCCACAGTACTGTACTGCCTTTCTAGAAATAGCTATACCTTAACCAACATAAGAAATACTAAGATGAGTTTGAAGTTGAAGTGACATCCAATCCACCACACACTTATTAAGAACTGACTTTATGTCAGGCAATTTGCACGTGTGGTTAAGTGGCAGCTATGTAGAGAAATGGATAGATCACTGGGCTGGGAATTAGAAAGACTTGAAAATCCTGTGCTACATACTTGCTTACCGGTATGACCCTGGGCAAGTAACTTAACATCCCTCGGTCTCAATTTTCTCACTTACAAATTGACATGTGCTTCATGTGGTTGTTATGAGTATCAAATGAGATAGCATGTAGAAAGTGCTTTCCAAAGTTTAAAGTGCTTTCCAAAGTTTAAAGTGCTGTCTAAATGCTAGCTGTTATTGTTGTTGTTGTTACTATTATTATTATTCCTCTTATTAAGTTCAGGGAACAGTAATGACTTACTATCCTTGGAAATATCCTAATGTTCTGGCCTTAAAAGAACGTGTCTAGCTACATTGTGAACTTGATTATAGTTAGAATGAATGAATATAAGGATATCTAAATAGACATATAGAAAGGGAAAAATGACTACTTTTAGCCTAAAATTAGACTGGTGGTAAAAAAAAATTTAAGATGGAGAAATGCTAATCTTTCCATACAACAATCTTAAATTATGATTCCTATATTCTCTAAAATTTTGGAAGAAGGATATCATGTCCCCATATTTACTTCTTGAAGTAGCAACTGAAAATTGATTTCCTATAAAGTTCTGGGATATTTCAACATAACCAAAGTTTAAACATATTAGAGTAACACCCCATTTATCTGACAATCTCAAACTGAACTCATCTTTCAATTCCCACCTTGCCAGCCCACTCCATCCCCTAGTGATTTT